CCAAATCGAGAAATCATTATAATTAATACTTATTTTTTCTTTTAAGTTTCAATCATTATATTTATTTATCTTTTTTTCAAGTGCCAATGAACCAGCAAACTAAAGGTCTTTAAAGGAGATTTGTATATTTATTTGTTGTATTTTATTGTTATAAAAATAAATACCAATTGCAATAATCAAGCATGGTTTGAAACATGTGCATACCAATAAAATGATATACATAATATTTGATTGATATTATGAATATAAGATATACAAGTATTATGATATTCTTGTTCATAATTTGCTTGGTGATATGCTAATATACAAGTATCATGATTTGTTGATATTATGGCTTTCAAAAAACACATGTCATCCTCTCCTGATCATGTTAACACATCATTTTAAAAAAAATTAGGGGACATTGGTAAGTTAGTTAAAGGAATTGGAAAAAATACATATTGACTTCAATACAGATGGGTAGCCTGTGCTAGATGGTGCAGCAAAGATGGCTAGTCATATTGGAGCTCTTGTTTGACAGACAATATCCATTAACTACTAAAGTTGGAGAAAGGTTCAGATTATTCAAAAGAACGTATATAGGATTTGGTTGTGGTAAGTTATAATATCTAAATACAAACTTTTTTATTTGAATGTGTATTATGTATGAAATGCAAGTACGATCATGTTAACATATTTGTATTTAATCTTTTAGGAATGCTTTGACATCCTATGTGAGTATAAAAACTTTTTCTTGCAATCCGCTAAATTTAGATTTAGGGATTTTAAAAGTAGATTGACAACAAAATATATTCTATCAGTTGTTGACAATGCTGAATTATTGGCTCATCCCCCATCAACATATTTAGATATTATTAGTGATGAAGAGTGGATGAAGTTTGTATCAACTTGTCTATCAGATGAATTCAGCGTATGCATATCAATTTTCTTTTGTTTTTATAATACAATTGTTTTGGGTGAGATATTTTGAAATTTGGTTATTGATTTTTTTTTACAGAAAACAAAAGAAGCCCAAAAGCAAATACGAGCCCAAAAAGTTTATCATCATCGAGTATTAAAAAAAGGGTATGCAAATATCAAGTATGAGCTTGTAAGTATTTTTTACCAATTATTATACACTTGATTTTCAATAGCAATTACTGTTGCCAACTTATATTTTCATATTGGTTTAGGAACATCCAGCTTTGGCAAGGAAATACCAAGATGTGATGTTTAAAAAAAAGCTCATATGTCCAAATCTAGAACCTATGGGAATGAAACAACTAAACAAATGGCTAAGAAAATGGTATGTTCATTTCGTATTTATATCTCAATTGCTACTAGTTCACCATATATGCATCTTAATATATTGTATTCATTGACATCTGCATTTTATGTTTTAGGACGACATTGCTTTGAAAGTCTAAGCTGGTGAAATATCCATTAGTGATGGTGAAGATGTTTTTACCTTAGCTTTCAGTTCAAAGGATAGACTTGATCGTGTTAAAGGGCACTTTGTTTCTACACAAGAATATTTAAAAACTCAATTTAAACCTCACACTTCCAAGACGAAAAAATTTATAACGATAATAGAGCAACAACAGCAATAACTTGATGAACAATAGCAACGAATTGCTGCATTGAAGCACAGTTGGCATTAATGCGAACTAACACGATCCCGAGTCAGTCTTTTACCAACATTTCAAGAAATGAATTTATGGATCAAGTGTTTGAGTAAACCCTTTCTTTGTAATCATCATTCTTATGATTTTTATGAAATTTGTTATCAGAATTGTTTATGAGATATTGGTGATAAATGAGTCATAACTGTGTAGATCAAACATTTTAGTTAATATTGAAAACATGTATCTAAAGCAAATATGTGCATTTTGTACATGAAAACTAAAAAAATCCAAAAAATTGATAATAAAATTTGTAGCAACAAAATATATGTGGATCAAGGCTACAACCAAAATCTAAACAAATCTAAACAAATAAAACAAGTACACATTTCAATCAAACTAATAATGAAGAATAGATCATGATGTAGTCAGGATAAGTAGAGATACTGTTTATTGATAAATAGAAGATAAATTAAATAAGATGAAGATGAAATCCAAGTTTGTAGCTGATGCTGATGCTAGTTGAAATAAAAAAGTCTATGCTAAAGATCTTTTGATGTTGTCTAAAAAAATATGATGATTTTTGTTATTCAACAAAGTTAAAGAAAAGCAATATTGCATTTCTTACGTCAATAACGTAGCAATGAATTCTTAAAAAAAAAAGGCTTTTATTTGATTAGATATACGTACGTTTGTAATGTCAGAGCTAAACTTAGAAATTCATGTATTTGTATCATGTAAAGTATTAATAATTCGTGTAGTGCTTAAATGAAAATTACGTATCACAGTTCACGTCAACACGAAAATATGAAATACTTTTTTTTTGTTTTATTAAACCTATTTATGATTTTTGCTAAAATTTTAAACCATGTCATTTCATGTCTTTTATTTGTATCATTTTTGTGTTATGTTTAATATTATCAGGTCTATCAAAAACTCGATTTTCAAGAGAGAATTCTCAATTACTATGTTTGTAACGAAGGAAACGTAGTAAATAAAATCAATTACTGCGTTATATCATTATATTGCAGTATTCTAATGAAAAAAAAGCTTGTTAATTATTACGTTTACTTCAATATAAATGTAGTAATTGACAATAAATACTGCATTAAAATTATTATTGATTTTTCAAATTTTCAATTACTATGTTACCAATTAATAATGTAGTAAAATAAGTCTTGACAAATTAAAACTATAATCAAATATTGCGTTAATTTATATTATTACATAGTAATTAGGTAAAATACTACATTACTTTTTATTGTAATATAGTAATTGAGTGCTTTATAACAAACAATTGAAAATTTAAAACAACTAAAATGAAACATTGCATTAATTTTTTTGAAAATTCAGTAATTAAGTGCGTAAAAAAATTATATTTTAAAAACAATTACAATCATATACTACGTTAATTTTTATTATAATGCAGTAATTGAATACATAAAAAAATTTGATAATTTAAAACAATTATAATCAAATAATGCATTGATTTTTATTATAAGGTAGTAATTGAATGCGTTAAAATAACAATTAACAAAGTTAAACAATTACAATAAAATATTGCATTAATTTTTATTATAATGCAGTAATTGATTGTGTTACAAAAAATAATTATATTTTAAAAATAACTAAAATCAAATATTACGGAAATTTTATTATAATGAAGTAATTGACAATGTTAAAATAACAATTGACAATTTAAAACAATTATAATCAAATATTAAGTTATTTTATTATATAACGTAGTAATTGATTGTGTTAAAAAAATAATTATATTTTTAAAACAACTACAATCAAATATTACATTAAGTTTTATTATAACATAGTAACTAACTGCATTTAATTAAAAATTAACAAATTAAAAACAAATGTAGTCAAATACTGTATTATTTTTAATTATCACGTAATAATTAAGTATGTTTGTTTTTCACGTTAATTTCACAAATTTTAAAAAAAAATTATAACAATTATTGTGTTTGTTTTTAACAAATGCAATATTTGACATTTTAAAAAAAGAACAACAAACTAATCATACCTTGATTTTCAAAAGGGTAAAAAAGATTAAAAAATATTTTTTTATTTAAGTCAAATATAAGATAAAAGTAACTTGCCCCTTGGAATATTAAAAAATCATATGTAGAGGTGAGTTTTTAATTCCTATACTTTGATACAGTTAAAAATTTGAGATTATATTTAAGAATCTGACCCCCAATTAAATGTGGGAATTTGAATATCTAATAACAACATTCTGAAAGACAATCTCATATTCGCCAACCAAACCCCTTTAGTCATATATTGTAAGGGAAAAATTTTAGAATAAGTGAATCTTAATATAAATTTGAAAATTTTCATCGTAATCATTGTATTTATATTAAAATATATTTTTATTATTGATTTTAATTTTATTATTATAATACTAAATCTAATCTAATTTCACAATCATTGTTATTTTTAATAATCTAATAATTCGTATATTTATATTATGTAAAAATATTGATAATTTGTGTATTAATGCTTGTTTTATATAAAAATTATATATCATAATTCATATTGATATTAAAATGTAAAATATATATTTTTCATTAAACTCATATATGATTTTTTTTTAAATTTTAAACCTCGTCGTTTTTGTATTTTTTAGTATCACTTTCATATCATATACTAATCTTGTATTTTAAATTAATAAATCTTTTCATCTAAACCAATTTTATTACCTATCCAAATAAACCTATAGTCAATCAAGTTTATAGGTTTATCACAATTCAAATTAAATATTTGATCAAATTTTAAGATGTATTAATAAAGAATAGTTTGATTTTTAAATGTATTTAAAACATGAAAATATTAATATAAAACTAGCATAGCAGGGCTTTAAAATTTCAAGGAAACAAAAAAAAAGGGATGGACTTGATTTAAAAGCCCAAACAATAGGTATTCAAGCACATTAGCCATTTGGGCCACTAAATAATATATGGACTGTTGGGTTTTGAAAGATTAGCAAGTGCCACGTCAAGCAGCGATTATTTAAAAGAAAAATTATGGATAGTTGATTTACTTTTTTTTTTTTTTTAAATTGTTTGATTTTTTAGTTTTCTCCCTCTCTATCATCTTCATATATTTTTTTTTCCTTTTTTATTTTAAATTTTAAAAGAATAAAAAATAACATTAAAATAATCACTTATCAATTTAAGAACTATCACGTGATAAATTTTTTTAAAAATAATTTTATTAAAAATATTTATTATTATTATAATTTAAAAAAAACTAAAAATTGTCCCCATGAGCTGCCAATGGCCGACAATTTTGATATATTTTATATATTATTATATAAATATTTTTAACATTTTAATAACTTACCCTACTTAAAAAAAAAAAAAAAAACAAAATAAAAAACCTTTATTAAAAAAAAAAATAGTTTACCTGATTTTTAAATGGAAAAATCGATAGAAAAAAATTGCCTTATCTGCATTCCACACGGAGCTGAAGTAATAAAACTCGAGAGGAAGCGAGCTTACAGGGGAAAAAGCCACGAAGACAGAGCTGAAGCCAAACAACCAAAGATGTTGAGTCTATCAATTGCTTCAGCAAAAACCGTTACCTTACCTCCGAAGCCCAAATCTTCAATTCCCAAAACTTCCTTCACTGGCGTCAGAATCCAGCACTTATGTCCACAAAGATTGCATTCTCAAACGACTTCGGTTCGAAAATCATCAGCGTTTTCTTCAGTGGTAATGATGGCAAAGAGAGAAGAGGAATTGAAGGAAATAAGACCCAAAACGACTGAAGAAATCAACGATGAAGTGGTTGAGTTAAAAGGAGAGCTTTTCATGCTTCGTCTTCAGAAATCAGTTCGTAATGAGTTCAAGTCTAGCGAGTTTCGGCGTATGCGCAAAAGCGTATTCTTTTTTCCCCAAATTTTGTTATTTTATTTTATTTTTCTTGCAGTTGAATGGATTTCCCATGGAATTTTAGAATCTGGGTTTTACTTTAATTTTATTTTAAGACATGCAGAAGGAAATGAAGGAATATTTGAATTTCCGTAGGGGTAGAATCTCACAAGTTTCTATGGATAGAGGCTAGAGAACTTTGCTGAGAAACGCACAAAACAATGTCAATATTTTTTTGGAATATAAAAAAAAGTCCATGTTAATTGTAATTCGAGTTGCCAAAAATCTAAACTTTGACTGGACGATGCGAGTGAGAATGATAGCTATATTTTGTTTAATCGATAATCAGCAATTGGAGTATAATCACTAAACGTAAAAAATTTTGTTGAATGGTCTTGTCAATGCAATGCATTTGCCTTCAAATTGTGAACAAAAGAAGCTTAACAAATGAACTTTATGTGTTATTAGTAGCCTAACCATGATCGAGTTGTCTTTTATAGATATGCATATGTGTGTGTCTGTGTATTCATTCATCATCCTTTTTGTATATACATTTGGTTGGTTATTAAGGTTTTCATGTTTTATTTAGTAGGTTGAGTAGTCAACAGGTTCTGTATTCTTTTTACTCTCAAATAATGAAACCAATGTTGTAATGACCGAATGCTGGTCCTCTTATGAAACTCAGTAGGGAGGCTAGAGGGTGGGGTTTGGGAGAAGAGGGGTGTTAGAACCTTTTATGTGAAAGGAGGAAATGTTCTATTATTCATGTGAAGCGATGCTTGGATGAAAAGTGGGTGGGTGGGCTGTACAAGTGGTGGCTGTGGTAGTCAGTTCTTGATGAATTTGTTGCCTCTAGCTGGTTTTCCACTTTTTCTGTAATAATTGTTTTCTGTCAAATTGGATTCATTCCTATCTCAAGAGAATAAGATGTTGGCCAAAGAGGACATAGATGGAACCATATAAAAGGACCTCAGTTTTACTGAGTTTGCTGAGAATATGGTCTTAAATGGAGAAGAATGTTGTAATTTGATCTGTATAGCTAGCTGACCTTGCATGGTGGGAAAATTTGGTTGTTATCAATGGTGGATTGAGATTTTTTGGATTTATTTGGATTATGGCTAAATTCAACTGCTTTTTGAAGTGATCCTTAGTGCACTAAATTTTGTACTAGGTAGATACAATTGATAGACTTTTATCTTTGCCAGATATTTTGATTATGCTATTTTCTTGCTATGCCTTGGTTCAGACTTTTCGCAGTCAAAGACAATATGTCTAAAAATTGAGTGGAAGCGGAGATTAGCAAATACTATGGCACTTCTCCAATCAATTATTAGATAATTGTTTGGTAATATTGAAACAGTATTTGGACTTAATGACAGAAACCCTTTGCCATTGTCTTTTACTGATATACTTTATATATTTTACATTAATGGTATTCCCTCACAGCAAAATTATGTAAAGGTAACTTTTAATCTGCTTAAATTATATGATGCAGAAATATGACAGTTACCTGAAACTTTTGCCTCAGCTTCATGGTATCCAAAGTTAAATTATGCTGATGTACAAGTAGCAGCCATTTAGGTGTGTTTGCTCCACTTATTGGCAGTTGCAAGAAAGTAGAGGCTAAAATGAAGTCTTTTGAGCATGGTTAAGAATTGGTGTGTGGTAGGAGGAAAGATGTACTTTGCCGTTTGAAATGCATGGTGAAACATAACTCATACCGTAGACCTGATATTGCCTGCATTAGCTTCTGCTGACCATAGATGAGCATGCTTCCCTTTGTTTGCATGTTTGTCAATTTTTTTATTTAAAATTTTATTTTTGTTGTGGGAGACAGAGGGGGTTGTTATAGGATTTCTTCTACTGTTAAAAAAGCTTGTCGCATGCCAATTTTAAAGGTATTTAAAAGGAGTTGATTCTGATCATTTTACATATATCATTTGAAGTCAGTGTAATTCTTCATGGTGCTGATATACATGCTGAATTGAATTATGGACAACATACATGGATTTTATACATGCTGAATGAATTAAGGACAACATACATGGATTTTACATACTGTGATTTTCTTTATGGTTACATTGCAAACTAAAAGGGACAAGAGGGCAGATAGTTGATGATGCTTGTTTTGGAACATTGTGAAGCCACTCCTGGAAACTTTCTTGTACTCCTTTTGGCCTAAAAATTTTATGGTTAACTTTTTGACACTATACTTGTTCTGTCTAATTTTTCAAATTTATGAGGCTCTGGAAAATCAATCTTTACTTTCTTCAATGTATGGCTAATGTCTCTGTTCCTTTCACGTGTTATTGTGAATGTTCGAGTTTTTTTTTTTTTTTATATATATTGCATGTCTGAGGCACCAAATTAGAGCTTGAACTTTATCCATATATTATTTATCTCCTTTATAAAGATTAAGGGTAGTTTTACAATGTATTTAAGCTTTGAATTCAACATTATGGTAACGAAGAAAATTTTCTCCTTGATAGATTGCTCGCATGCTTACTGTTAAACGGGAAAGAGAGATCGAGGAGGGCATCAACAAGCGATTGTCAAGAAAGCTTGATCGGCAATGGAAGAAAAGCATTGTTGTGAGGCCACCCCTATCTTTGATAAAATTGCGAGAGCAAGAGGCAGCCGAAGAAGCTGAGAAATCTGCTGCTTGAGCCACTCCAGATACTTAAACATTTTCATGGCTTGAGAAGAGCTCTTTTAATTGTTGCAGTTTCTATTTTAGACCATTTTGTGCATAATATTTTGTTGTTGAAGCTAGGATTCTTTCTATTTTTGGTTTAGCTGAGATTTTTTATTGCCCTGTGTCTTCTTTCTCTGATGGGAAAGCGCTTGAAAAATTCGATCTTACCAATTCTGATTGTTACTAAATCCTCATTGTTGGAGCGTTCATTTTTTATAGTCTTCACCAATAAAGCTTGTGAAAAGAGTTCAGATAACAAATACTGGATCGTTTTCGTTTTCCTTTCGTGTTGTTTAAACTTGTCGTGTCACATGAAAACAATAACTAGTTACTTTAGATACGTACATATATAAAAGATTTTTCTTGTAGCCTTTTGCTTCAGCAGCGTCCCTGCAGATCTACATTGGCTTTAATCAAAGCCAAAAAAGGGGAAGACCTCAAAATCACCATGGAAGAAGAATGGTCAGACCTAAACCTCCCAACCAAAACTCTAGACCTCGATGCCGATTTACAGAATAAGCACGAAGCAATGCTGGATCGCCTGACCAATCGCCACCAAGCTCGTTTAGACAATTCACTGGCTCGCCGATCCGACTCAACCAACCCCTCCGAATCTACCTCCTCTTTTCTCTCCCGCTTCTCCGACTCCAAGCAATCCATCGACTCCCAACTCACCGACTCGCGTCTCATTGCTCAATCCGATCCATCTCGCCTCAAATCTCATTTCGCCAATATCTCCTACTCCATCTCGGACCTCGAAAAACTGGTCGCCGAGAACTCTTACTTCCTTCCTTCTTATGAAGTCCGCACTTCTCTCAAAACCATCTCCGATTTGAAGTAATATCTCGAGATTTAAACTCCGAATTGATCCCCAGAAAGAAATTCACCTTAAAAAACAAAGTCACAACGAAAAAGGAACTCTTGAAAGAACCAGAACCCGTAAAGTCCCACACCGTTTCAACTACCAATTTTAAAATCCCTAATTCCCCAGGGTTTAGAAATAAAACATATGAAACCCTAGTGAAGAAATTCAAGGGGACGGAAATTGGGGAATTTACGCTATCTGACCTGGATTCGTGCGAAGTGAGATTAATCGGCTGCTGCAATGCGGTTTTTATGAATAGATTGACGAACTGCAAGGTTCACTTGGGGCCGGTAATTGGGTCGATTTTGATAGAGGAAGTGGAAGGGTGTGTTTTCGTATTGGCTACGCATCAGATAAGGATTCATTCGGTAAAAAGGTGTGATTTTTATTCGTGGGTGAGGAGTAGGCCGATAATTGAGGACATCAATGTTGTGAGATTCGCGCCGTATTGTTTGGATTATGAAGGGATTGAGATGGATTTAGAGAAGGCAGGGTTGAGTGACGAGACGGGGAATTGGGGGAATGTAGATGATTTGAAGTGGTTGCGAGCTGTACAGTCGCCGAATTGGTGTGTTTTGCCGGAGAATGAAAAGGTTGGAAAGCTTCGGCTTGAGGATTTTGAGAGCGTAATTGAAGGTAGTTAAAGATTGTTTTTGTAACTAGGGTCTTTGAATTATTTGAGTTGTTATGCTCTTGTTTGAATATATGTTTATTATCTCACTGTTTTGAAATAGATATGGAAATGGAAATGGCAAGTTGCATTTTTATTGTTCTGTTTATGTCTTTCTTCTTCATTTCTGTTGTTAATCACAAGCTTTCGATTTGCTTTGGCAGACTCATGGCAAATGAAAGATGAAAGTTATTAAAATGATGGCAATCTTTATGTTTCTGCTTTCCGTAATTCGGCTTACACGTGTGCCTGCACTTGAGGTTATTACTTTTAAATGATTAGGACTAATTATGTATGGCATTTTGGAGGTCTGAAGAATCTTTTATAGTTTATGATTAAAAAGTTGAATATATTGGTTTCCTGAACTTTGGCTGAGTGGTTGGTTGTTTGTCCCACCAAATTTCCCTCATTTTCCTTTCATTTTCCTCTCAATGTGCAATATAAATAGTGGGAATTTGGAGGTAGCAATTACAGGTATTAGATGAGACAATCATAAACATGATGCTGGCTTTTGGGTGTGGTTGGATTGAGCTGAAATATGTTACCAACTTCTTTGGCTGCATGGATTCTTTCTGGAGCTAGCTGTGGGAATCTTAAGCTCTCCTGTTATCTGTTTGGTGGAATGAGTTGGCCATCTACTTAAAAGGCAATTGTTTAAGTTTCCATTTTATGTACTGTGATTGAGAATTTATCACTTAAACGATCTTTGCCTATGATTTCTGTATTAATGAATCATGCATGATTTGGAGTTAATGGTGCTTGTAGTCACTAGTAGACAAATTACTTTTGGAGCAGGTCCGCTAGAGTGTTCTTAAAAGACATGCTAAGGCAAATGTTACAAAACAGAAAAATTTTCTGCCTCTGGTGCATCTACTTGTCCAGTGAAAGGAAAAAAGAAAAATCCGCATATATTTTTCCTCCGCCTTCACCATTTTCTCAATCTCATATCTCTGCTATTTTGGATTTCCACCGCTAAAATCGCAATTTAATTGCAGAGCTCAGGTAATCGTTTTCTTTTCTTTTCTATATTATCCTTTTTTTTTTTTTTCACCTCACTTTGCCTCCTAGTTTCTCAGAGCAATTCCAGGGCTTTGAAGCAGAGGCGCATTGTGCTCCAGTTTGCAAATGAGGACAGGCATGCGTCTAATTGATCACAATTTGTTATTTATCTCGGGAGTTGATTGTAGTGAAAATAGAAATGTTATTATCCCATATAGCTTTATGAAATTGAAATAGTTTAAAATTGTTTCCAATAGCACTTCCATAGGCCGCTTAACAATTTCCAGGTTTATGCTGGCTTCGGAGAAAGGGGACTGTTTTAACTTTCCGGGGTTCTTCTACATCTCTGCCATTTATGGATACCCTAGCTTAAGAAAAGTCCCTCTTGTGGAGTTTGAAGTTGCGAAGGTGCTATGAACATTAGAAACGATGGAGTTAGTTTATTAATAGTTTGAAGTTGTGAATAGTGCCAACAGTTGCTCGATTGATAGAATGTTGAGCTTTTAATGACATCGATCATAATTAATTTGGCCAATGATCTTAAAACATATTTACAGAGGAAAATTTTCAACAGGAAATAGATGTCCCTCAAGTTCTTCCAATTCCAAGTTCCAAGAAACTGAGTTTGAAACAAATATCCCAAATTTCGAGCCAATCTTTGTTTTCGTGATTTATTCGAGTCGTCAATTGAATTTGCTGCGAAGCCGGCATTGGTCATAGCTTTGCAGGTATTGTGAGCCTTTATCGCGTGTTTGATTTAGTTGGTAGACTTCTAGATTCGACTGGGACATTGGCACATTGCCTACCAACTATTTGTGTATTTTGCTCCTTTTGAGATCCGTTCTAAAGATTGGGCACTTTGTTGCTGTCCCTGGGATCAGGTATCTCTTCTGCTTGACTCGTTTACCAATCTTGCGGCCAGCTTGTCGATTATAGTGGTACCATGTGATTTCATGCAACGAAAAGATTGACCAACTTTTTACTTTATGGTCGGTTCACACTATTACCGAAAAAGGGTAAAAATGTCGATCTAATTTATATTTAATGAAAAATATTTTTTTTATATAAATGAAAATGAGAATGGATATTAAATTATGAGTATAAAAATAAAGTTAGATATAATTTTAAATATTTATTAAATAAGAAATAGAAATGGAAGCAAGTAATGTAACATCCATATTTTATATATCTATTTATTTATATATGTATTTTAATAAACAAAATTTTTATTAAATAATATAAATTATTATTTTAAATTAATCAAAATTAATATATTTTATTAAAAAATATATTAATATATATTTATAAAAAATTATCTAAATATACAATATAAAAATTAAAAAGGTAAAAATTTATATTTATATTTATATTTTTTAAATTATAAATATAAAAAATACTTATATTCATTAAATATTTGTAAAAATAAAAATAAATTTAAATTTAAAATATTTGTTAATAATAGATATGACGATAAATATAATAAAAAAATTTTAGAAATAAAAATTTTTTATCGAATTCATATTCTAGCTATTGACATTCAGAGCAAAGGGGTGTCTTACCACTCTGCCGTCAAATTGAAGTCAAGGGATGACTTTATGCAGAGGAACGAGAGTTAAAAAAAAAAATTCGGCTGAAGGGAAAAAAAAACAAAAAACCTAACTAATAACATACGGAATATATATTTTTTATATTTATATATATTTATTAAATATACAAATATAATTGGATACAAGTTTGAATTGTGTGTTATATCATCTATTCTAATCTTTTTATCTGATAGATATCTTGAAATTTTATTCATTTTTCATTTCGTTCTCAAAATTTGACACATATTATTATTTTTATTCAGATAAAAAATAAAATTATTTACCAAATATAGGTACAATTAATATTTTTAGATATTATCAAAGATTTTTACGATCAAGTCATCATACTAAATTATTAACATATAAAGATGCCGGTGTGAAATCCTGTATTTCGTCAAATGTTACAGTTATTTATCTTTGAACGTTGTCAAGACCGGTTGGCAACTGTCACCAATTGTATGCAATTAGTTCCAAACTCTTAAAGGTCTGCTCTATTGATCTGACACCTACTTTTAAGTCTTTCATTTTAATGCTGCACGAGTCGTCACTCCTGTCTAAAAGCTACTTCTCATAGATTATGACTGTAACAGGGCAATAGCACTTAGCTGTAAGTGATCAGCTGTTATTTTAATAGAAAAAAGTTCTTTTGGCCATCTTTTTTAAACACAATTCAAGCCATTGGAGGTTGATTTATGCTTTCAACAATAAAGTTAGAGCTTTTTATCTGTATATATGGGTCCTGTTGTGGGTCTTCACAGGCTGAATTGGTTCCTTGATCTCGTGTTCAGCTCACAGATGTCCAACAGAAGGGGAAGCCGGAAGAGAACAAAGCTAGTATGGGTGTCCGCATGGTAGCCTCACTCTTACCTATTTGAATTTAGTGCACAGAAAAATCATATGCTTCTTTACCAACTCCCACCATGTGATCTCCATGCACTTTTTCTTTTCAGCTTTGACTTGATTTACAATAGTTGTTTGTCAATAAACAGATATTGATGATGCTGTTTTTAATATCTCCTACTCCAACCATGTGACCTGCTTTTGCATGCAACGTTTATCGCAACTTTTGACAAGTATAGATTCTCTTGTACTTTATAGTGTATACTAGCTGCTCAGATTTCATGAACCGACCTCCCCGATTCTCTCAGTTTTCATAACTAGTCCCTACTTGACAAAATATTTGTATGCCACATTTGCAGGTTTCTTATATAATTGGTTTCAATTCCGTCCATCTTATTGCCTTGTGCTTTCCCAAATTTAAGGTAGTGTGGAGATTGCAGACTATAATTTCTAAGGTATATTTTGACTTTTCTTTCATTTGCTTGTGGTTCAACCGTTGAATTTTTTTTTTTTTTTCAAGAATAAGCTTAATGCACTATTTAATATCTTGTTCTAGCTTAATTATTGCATATTTAGGCTAGCCATTTTTATGATGAAATGCCATCAAATCATAGTGCAAATTTGTCCTTCACAAAGAAGAGGGGCTCTTCATAATAACCTGTCAAATGCACTAAGCTTCTTGTCTTCTTGATTGGTAGTTGCTTTTATGGGTCTTCTGAATACTGTTTTGTATATTCTGTAAAAATGAGTTACAAATATTTTTCATCTAAAAAAAATAGAAGATGCAAAATTCAAGATATAATCCCATGTTCCACTCTTTCTGCTTCTTCTGAGATCACTTGGATCCAAATAATAGGGGTCTATACTTTATTAATGAAATAGATCATGCTGCCACCAACCTTTGAGTCTACATTATTCCTGTAATGCACTTGCTTAAAATAGTTGCAAGAGCTCAACATGTTCTCTCAATCTCATCTTAATAACTTCCCATGTGCTATCTGGGCTAGTGTTAATCCCATATACAGTTTGCGTGTGGGCCATGAGTCTCTAGCTAGTTCATTGGAAGGAGTCAAGTGGGGTTAATTAAGTTAAACAGGTTTAAGCATATCTTGTGTTTTCTATTTAAGAGCTGGGCCTGGGATGGATCGACTTAAGCCAAGATTTCTTCCCTAAACATCAGTTGATCTAATTGTAGAAAATAATGAGGGAAAAATTACTACAAAGAGTGCTAAGAAATAGAGGCTCTAAAAATATCTCCACCTTTTTTATTAGCTATGGTGTGATATAAACTTAAGTTTCCAAATGCTCTTTTCTAGTTAAATTATTTATCAAATTAGCAAAATCTTACTCCATCAGAAAAATTAAGCGATCAAATTAGTACGTACCATCTCTAACTATAAACCGGCATATCGAATAACTTTATAGAGTTCTGAAATTAAGTATATATATATGGATCATTTCATTAGTGCTATGTGATTCTAAGATTTAGAAAGTGGATCAGTGAATCAATGTTAGCTGTAAAATTATCATTTTCATTTAATGGAAGATTTTTTTTTTTTAAAGGAAACAGGAATGTATTACTTGTATTGTACTCTCAGTCTTTCATCGTTCTAGGAATGTGTGTTTCACTATGAGACAAGGTGTGGTAGGCACTATCCCATCATAGTTTCATACTCTGAATCACTGAATTTGCTACTGTTTCTTCGGGCTTTGGATATTGTATCGTAATCTTGTTTAAATATTGTTCATTCTTTCGCACATCAATGGCCTGCTTCTAGCATTGTCTATTTTAAAAATAATTACATTGGAAATAGTTATACATATATACCCCATATAAAAACTTTCTGACCGGCTGTAGGGATGTTGTGGAGGATGAAATACCTTCTGATAATCACAACTATCTGACTGCAGTGGTCTAGTGGTGTCTGGTACAGATCAGAAAACTTGTCTGCCTATTGTGAGGAAGAAATTATTCTTCAAAAAGTAAAGGATATGGAGGAACGTGATCAGAGGACGTAAGGTTAACCAAATCGTGTATGTTCTTTTATAAATCAATTGCTTAGTTATTGCAGTTTCTTGGTGTATTCTGTTGAGATGAGGATAATGTGCTGGAAAGTGAGGGGGATAGGTAGTGTCGCAAAAGGGAGAGTTCTTAATAAATTGGTGAAGAGTCATAAGGTCGAAGTGCTATTACTTCAAGAAACCATGTTGGAATCAATTGGATATCAGCAAGTATTAAATTGGTGAAACAATGAGAATGTTGATTGAATCTTTTCTTCATCAAAAGGAAAATCCGGTGGTTATTTTACTGCCTGGGATAGGAATTTTTTTCTCTTTAAAGAAAAGTTAAGGATCGATTCTTAATTATTCAAGGTTGTTGGAAGTATGCAAAACTTGATTGTGTCATTATTAATGTAAACGCCCCTTGTGATTAAATTCTTTAAGAGAGATCTGTGGTGTGAAATCATGGGATGTAAAAAATTATAAAACCAAAAAATTTGGATTTCAAATGAGATGGGGAAATTAGAATTTGATCGAGTGGTTGAATTGGAGCTTTCTCTAGAGTCAGCTTTGCCTAGCACAGTTTTAGACAAGTGATGAAAGGTTAAACAAAGAGAAGAAAAATGAAAGCTGCTGTCCAAAGGAGGGCTACTTACAGAAGTTCTTTCTTTTTTTAATCGGACAAAAGGAGATTCGAATCGGATATTTTGAATAGAGAAATCATGTACTAATAATTAGTCAAATGCACATTGGCAAGAGCCAGAGAACATTAATAGGTTGGGAACCTCCTTTGGTTGGTTCCTCGAAGTTTAATGTCACTAGCGCCGGGTGTGGTTGAATTCTAGGGGACTCATAAAGTTTTATATTGGCCACGTTCTCATCTCCTTGGAGAGTTCTTATTTCTAATGATGCTGAGTTAATGGCGATTAACAAGCACTGAAGTTTTTCATTAAAACAGGATGGTTAAGCAAGATGAACCACATTG